AATAATAATAATAATAATAATAATAATAATAATAATAATAATAATAATAATAGTGATAATAATAATAGTAATAATAATAATAATAGTAATAATAATAATATTGATGCTTTCTTTGCTGAATATTTTAGCAACTGAGGACATCTCCTGTACCATACGATATTGTAATATCGCGTAATGCGATTTTACAATAAGAATAATGCGTTAACGATCTTTTCAGACAAAATTTGAAGAAAGTAGATGAAAAGTTGTATCATCGGATGACGAATATTATGAATATATATAAAATACGACAACAACAGGAGAAAGTACTGCAGAAATTGCGAGTTGGTTATTTCCCCAATTTTTTCTTCATTAATAGTGATAGCACGCGCACTCTAACAAAGCATTATTTTTTCATCCATGGAGCTTTGAAAACAGGTGACAACAAGCCAGGTTTACTCTGTCCTCTTGATCTGGATTCCATACTTCTTCGGTTACAAAATATTCTGCATGAATTTTTTGTACTTTTGAGCTTCTAACAGTAAACTTAATCTATGCAGGATATGGCATGTCTTCGGGATGCTCAGTTAACTGTTCAAATGCTATTAAATCAAAATGATTATCCGAAAGCTTTAGAATGTATCGAAACTGCGCAAGATGTTTTGAACAACGAATTACTAGGTGTTACATGCTTCAGGTTAACTTTTTGGGAATTGCATATTTATTTGTATGTTTACTTTAAATTACTTGGATCGTCAGTATTATGACTTTTTCCTGTTAATAGTAATATTACTCATGAGATGCAAAGGATGTCTGTGATGGCAACTGTCAAATTAGGCTAGTCAATTTTGTTTAAAATACCAATGGTTCAGCAAATTTATACAATTTAATGTCAAAATCCAAGGAAATTTCGGCAGTACTGATTAGCTTAATATTGTTACAGGCATCTCGGTTCACAATTAGAAGAGCTGCATAAGGTAATCGCTAAAATGCTTTATGAAGAATTTGTAACTTTGGTACAAAAGGAAATGGGACGACCTTGTGAAACTGAGAATGATGCTGTTTATCAAGGGGTTTGTTTTTTAATATTGGATCGATTTTAATAGCAAATCGGAACAGTTATAAGTTCACTATGTAGAAATGGGAAAGAGAATAGAAAGGTATGGTTGTGGAACTGCAGGTCTCCGATATCTTTGTTCGGAAAAATCGGGATGTAGATTGAAATTAGCAAATTATATAATATTGACGTAAGCGGGAACGCCGGACATTGATCATATTGACTTTTCATCTTGTTTCAGTTTATCAGTCTGATTCGATGTTGTTTTTTTTTAAGGGGCACATGAATCCGATTGTAATTGGTTTATTACAAGTGGAGGAATATCGTTTTGTTCATGTGTTACAACAAGAAATAGTTGTGGCTTTGAAAAATTCATTAAGACAGGTTTGTTAATTTAAATAATTGAATTAGTTGCAGCATTTCCAAGATTTCAATTCACGAGACATTTAGATAAGTATTCATTCACTCAATAGTGAAAATTATTATTTTTATAGATAATAAAAGCGCATGTGGTGCGGAATATGGGTGACCACGAGTTAACTGAGTTCGATCCATCACTTGGTAATTTGAGCACTCAGATGCGAAGGTTGAATTTCGATCAGTGGTTCGCAACATTGCAGCATGTCTTACGTGTCCTTTATCTGATGTGTCGTAGGGTGCAGAACATTCAGGAAGTTATCCTGGATAACATTGATCATTTTTCGGAAGTGCTTGATAGAAGACCTATACAAGATCAGGAAATAACCGAGGCCGAAAAAAGGTTTTTCAACGCAATTATATCAAAATTTAGACCTAATCGGTATTTTCGTGATTGGTCCAGATATTTTGACTAGATATTTGAAAATCAAGATTTTGAAGAAATTTTGACGAGTGTGTATTTCACTAAAGCATGATAACAGTTACGATTCCTAATTATATTAATATTCAGGACCGACTCTATCCAGAAACTTATGGGTCCGGATAAGTTCACGTCTGCAGCTAATGATGCATCAGTTCCAGTACAGATAACAAATGCTGAACCAGATACAGATGATGAATTGGAAGTGGAGATCAATCGTGTATTGGGGAGAAGTTCACTGGAAACGGAAAATATTCCAATTCCATCATCGAATAAGAGTAACACTGTGGAAGGTGTTGAAAATCAACAAAATGTGAGCTGTACTAAAGTAGCAAATGGACACGGCGATGTTTCGCAAGCAGGAAGTACTATTTCGGATATGATGATGACAATGTCAGTGACTGCAACACCTGCTTTCCTGTCAATGCCATGCAGGACGATCAGTCAAGTAAGCTTTGAGTTTTATGACCCTACAATATCGCCAGTATTATTCCTTTAATCCTGATTTACGTTCTTGTCTCCACGTGGTACATGTTTGTATATCTTCAGATTTCCTTTTCATTTGTTTTTTTTTTTCTTTTCGAATAGTTTCTATTCTGTTGACTTTTCAATCTAATTTTCGAATTGGAACTTTGGATAATAATGTTTCTCGGAATTGTATTCCTAAATCCGAAAAAGACTTTCGAAATTTTAGCTACTTTGAAGCTTTCTTCATTTTTTAAATATAATAAGTTTTCCTTTTAAGGTAAAACTATCAGTAGCTTTTCTTACTGAACATACAACATATATGGCTCAGGAACGCAGCTGTCGTCTAATAGCTGCTAGATCAAAGGTATTTAATAAATTTTCAAACTGATTTTACCTCGGAGTAAAATATAGCCCTTAGATTTCCATGTCTTGTTGAAGAAATGTGTCTTTGAAACGTTGAAAACATGACTGAAAAGGATGGGAGTTTCTCGATAGTATTTCAGGATGGGTTCCTTGAACGACTATCATTATGCCAATTCGATAGTGTAATGCGTGCTGTCAAAGAATTTGTCTGTAATTGTCAGAAGTTAATTGGAAGCGAAAAAAAATTTTCTTCGCCTCTGCGTTTATGTATTCTTCAGCAAGGCAGTAGTTTCATCAAGAAATTTCACGAAGATCGGAGGGTTAAATTGAGGTATGTTTCCATTTTGAGTAAATCATTGGCAAATATATTGTAAATAAGTAGGAAAAACAATGGATTCATGCAGTCTGGAGGTATTTATATCTGTTTTTTTCTTTTGAAAGGACCAAATTCAAAAAAAAAAAGACCTCTAAAAAGGAATTTGGTCCTTTTTAGAGATATTTTCAACTTTTTCGAGAGTGAACCAAAGAATTCCTTAGCAGATAAAACTTGATCAACTAATTTCTTCTTTGCAGTAACATTCTGGACACGGAAACTTGGCGCGCCGGCGATGTGCCGGAGCATTTTCAACGACTTGTTGATTTGTGTTTACAAACAAATCGTTTATCGGATGTAGGATCGTTAGAAATCGAAAATTCCACTACATTTAAGCCTAATCTACTAGTTGATGGGGAACCATATGTTGTTGTAGGGTGCGTTTTGCGTTATTTCTAGTTTTGAAGAAATCCTCAGCAGATAAAGTTTGAATTCTTTAATTTCGTAGCGCTCTAATTTCTGGAAATGTACTAAAGTAGGGCTTTTTAGATTCTTTATTTGGAACATTTTTAGATTTCTCAAAATCATTTCTCCCTCTGATAAAACATCATAAGTTATTTTTATTTTCAGAACATCCTTTATTCTTCTGCAAATTATGGCTCAATACTGTGATGCTTTAGCCGTACTTCCAGAATATGCTTCCGAACTTTTGATGTGTTTAGTGGAATTGCTAAAAAATTACAACAGTCGTAGTTGCCAGTTGATTCTTGGAGCAGGCGCTTTACAATTGATTGGCCTGAAGTCGATAAGCGTTCGACATTTAGGTATGTTATATAAAAAGTTGCGTCATTCTTTGTTTCCCTTTCGTCGTTTCCCATTTGGTAATCAAGCGAATGGTTCATATGTTTTCTTATCAAATGAACCATCATTGTCGTTAGTTGTTGATTTTGTTTAGTTATTATATTGCGCGAAAGAATCTTTTTATACAATTTTGCTATTTATAGTAAAGGACTTTTTAATACTGACTTTTTTTGATATTCCATCTAATTCTGATGATAATATTATAGATATACTTCATTTTTCACTTTTTATTTCCTTTGGATTTTTTTATGTTACTTTACAAATTCTATGCAATAGTTAGGGTTTAACTTTTGCAAAAGACAGATATCTCAAAATAATACATTCTTGTCAAATAGACGAGCGAATTCTAAGAAGTTCCTAAGAAGTTTTTTTTTTTTGTTCCGAAGTAAAATTTTAGTCCTTTGTAAATTTTTCTGAATACCACGTGCTTCAGTTTTTTTTTCTTTTTCTCATGTTTTCGCTAATTTTCTGCCCAATCAAAGATTCTCCATACATTTCGGAAGCTGTATGAATATTACGTATCCGGAAAGAAATAGTCTACTTATTAGCCGGATTTTTTCTTTGTTCTAAGTTTAGAACTGTATTTACGAAGGACTAAAATATTTAAAATATGAAATTAAAAAAACTATTGGTATTGATTAGATTACAGCAGCGCCAATATATGATTTTGTTTTGTTCAGAAAGTAGAAAATAGACACACAGTACGGTATTACCAGTAGTAAAATATCTCGATTTTTTTTTGATCTGCTACATATCTATTAAAATGGGCAAAACCGAGTAGGACAATTCTTAATCTTTCATCATTTATTTTTACCTCGCAGCTTATTTATCAGTATAAATTATTGTATGTATATCAGTGCTAGCGATTCTCATTATTTATGAAATCTAATACTTAAATAGATCAATTTTTATTTTAAATGAACTTTTTATTTTACGTGTCATCCATACTTTAGGTTCTATTTAACTTTTTTTTACTCTTCATTATTATTCTTTTTTACTTGGTGTTCATGTTTTTGATGTCATTTTTATACATCTTATGTAAATTCTCTCCACTTTACTTATGCGATAATCATATTTATATTTCAAAGTGTACCGCATTTTTGTGGAAACGTTTTCAGAGCAATTTTGTTTCTATCTATTCTCTTGTCAATTCAAAAATTAGTTATAAAAAATTTCTGAGTTATTAGTTTTTTGGGTATGAAAACATTGATGACAGTTGATTTATTCTCGAAATACATCGTTAAGAATTAACAATTTTCTAAGGATTTATCAGTTCAGTTTTGTACTATATAAATGATGAAGATTAATTTCATTTCGTTATCAAAGAAAGGGATTAGAACTACCTTTATCTATTTTATAGATTAATTTGCACATAAACAATAAAGACAGAGAAAGCAAAATGTGAAATGAAAAGTTAATAAGTACATAATAAATGTGGATGAGTTAAATAGTAGATAAGTTTTAACTTGGATGAGTTAAATAGTAGATAGGTTTTAACATGATTAGAGCTATATATTGCTAGAGAGTAGTTCGAACTGTGCCATTAGTTGCGATAGAACTCCAGTACTATCGGTTTATTAATTATCAGAAGATGAGATGCTACGGATAGTACTGTTCGAATTGGTATCTTGATGGTATTGAATTCGGGCAGCTCTTTAGTTAATTTGGCTTTAGGAGACAATAATACATTTGTATAAGTTAGTATGTAGAAGAATTTTAGTTCTATTTCAGATTACCTCTGAAGAAATTTCAAGATTTTCAAAATTCTCAACTTATAATGAATTTACAACAGCTTACAATTTTTTATTTGTGGTTGTGACTATTATTACAAATGGTATTTTTCGTTTTTTTCCTGAAATTTTTTATCATTTTTATCGAAAATCAATTGTTAAGTGTAAAATTTACTGCAGAAATTTTGCTGGATAATTTATCAAATTACAAATTTTTAAGATTTATGGTATGTTGATTGAAGATGTTTAAATCAATTTCCTGTTAGGAAAAAAGGAAGAAAGTACTTTCAACAATATCTTTATCACAATAATATTGATTGTTTTGTTGTATTGCTAGAATTCTTTTGTATATGTCGTTAATACTAATTCTTAAAAGCTTAAACTTTCACAGACAAGATTTTACTTTGAGGTCATGACGTAGTTTTTCTTAACTATGTAGAGAAGCTATGATCTCAGCAACTCATTGATAAAGCAGACTCTCTTTTCAGTTTATTCTTCATCCCAGAATTCTAAATTATAGCATGTGGCGTCATTCTTGACCTATTTTCGTGTAAGATTTTATTTATGATATGAATGAGTGATGGTGATAAGAATGCATAGAATAATAATGAACAATAAATATATCATCCATCTTTAAGAAGCAAATTTTGGTTAGCATGAATTTAGAAATCCTCATATATAGCCGCGCAATCGTCTTTTATAGCAATTATACGATGCATTATTTTATCATCGTATTGATGCATTATTTTATCATCATTTATTCTTTACCGCAAAATTTAAAAGATTTTTGCATAATTTTGAAGAATTTCATAAGTGGTATAATAGGTAACACATTTGGTTGCTTTTAGAAAAACCTGATTGATTCTTGTTATTGCCATTTCGCACTTCCTGAAATCTTTTATCAATTTTATCCAAAATTAAGTACGAAATTTGCTGCAGAAATTTTATTGAATCACTTATCAGATTAGAAAATTCTAAGATAATAAAATAAAATTCTACTTCTAAGAAATATTTAGTAATACCAAGATTGTAATAAAAAAAAAGTGACTAAATTTACGTTTTCGGAATTCAATGCCTCTTTTTAATTTCACTTAGGAAGGATTGTTTCACATGATTTATTCGATTTTACAGCCCTTTCTTCGAGATGTCTACAACTAATTCTTCGATTTGTGCCATTTATTCGAGCTGCATTTCAAGAAAAGCTTCCCGCTGACAAACAGCCTTTGTTGCGACATGTCGATCAGTTAGTTAGAGTAAGTCTTTTTTCTGGTTTGAATTTAAGTTTAGCTTTTGACAAATCTTCAAAAGTGTTTAATTAAACGAGGAATTTTGTACATTTCATTTTAAGGATTACAATGATCATGCGCAGGAAATTGTGAACAAACTGATTACCGTCATCGATCACCATCTTATTGTGCAGCTTCAAGCGGTGAGGTCATGTACATGTACACTGATACATGTAGTGTCAAGTGCAATTTTTTATTTAACATCATATTGTTACTCTTCTTTCGTTAACGGAAATCGTTAAACCCTTAAAAGTGGGAGTTGCGTTTAGCTGCATTAAAAAGATTAAATTTATTCCTTTTAGAGGAGAGTGTAGCTGTTGCTGTTATTTTGATTTCTCTTTATACTTATCGCGCTATTCCCCATCTTTATTTTTTAAGTTTTGGTGGATAAAACCTGATGTATTTTTGTTGCAGTGGGATGTAAAAGGCTCCCTTCCATCGCCAACATTCCAGCAAATGTGTCGGCAGCTTAGAAAATTCTACAATGGTCTTAACGGAATTATGCCGGAAAGCATGATTAAAGTAAGATCTGCTTTTGATGAACCAATTCATTTCTATTTCTGTTCTGGTAGTACCTTGTGAAGGAAGCTTTCTAACCATCATTAATTTGAAGTTTGCATTTTCGAAGTCGAAATTTAAGTTTTTGTTCCATTTGTGGTATGAATCTGCCGTTATATGAATTTGTCTTTCTGCTTCCAGGATTTGTTTTTACGAGTTCACAAGAATTTCAAGGTTAATTTAAAAGCTCAGTTAGCTCAAATGAATATTACTCCGCACGACTCACTCACATATGGGCAAGATATTTATTTTATTACCGAAAATGACTCGTTGAAAATAGTATGATTAGGGAGAACAAAAAAAAAGAAATCACTCAAAACAAAGAAGAACTGAAATATAGGATCAGAAAAAATTTGTACAAGAGAATATGGGAGATCAATACAATGTCCAAAATAAGAAAAGGAAGGAAGAAAAATATGAACACTATTTCTTAAAATTTGTTTGCACACCTACTGATATTCAAATTTATATATGAACAATATTGCCTAAGATCGAAGTTCATTTATCATTTAGCTTAGCATCATTTAACTTTTTTTCTCACCATTGTAGTGCATAAGCTAGGAAATCTGTTATAATATAACAGATAAGTTTTGCCAAGAAATTTCAGATTGGTAAGCCAAGAATATATGTTCTTTATCAAAAACCTGCATGCCATACCATGTTGTGCTGATATAAAGGATGAATCAATCAATGAGGCTCTTTTCTCCAAGAATTAGTATTATCCAAGTTCGGATATTTTATGATTCTTTTATTTTCTGTGCAATTTACTTCAAGTTAGAGTAAATTAAACTTCACTGGCAGAACTTTTATGAAAATATCTGTTTGTTTTATTCAATACATTTGCTCAGTTGGTATCCTGGTTAATGGTCATGGGATAGGTGCAGATGTTATCAAATTTCGAGTCTGGATAATCTTGAATTATTCAACTTCTTTGTTTGCTTATTTAAAAGATTTGGAAATGCTTTAACTCAGATTCAAATATTTTTTTATTAAATCACTAAAATTTTGCATTGTCTTTCAGTTATTCTTCTAGTTTTTACAAAATGATAAAAAACTTCTCGATTTTGATGACTTACCGTAATTCCTAAAATTTTCCATAATTTCGAAAGTTCTCAGTTGCCATATAATTCGCACTTTTTTTTTTTGCGAAGAATTCCTTAGATCCTCATGTCATATTTTTATAGTCTGCCATATTTTTCAAAATTAGCAGATTTACTGGTGATGATATTTGTATATGATAAATGTCGAAATTTGCATATATTTTATAATTCATTAATTTTATTTCGTTTAAAACAAGAAACTTTCATCTTTTAGTGGTGATTTTTTATGTTTTTCTTATCTCTTCATTTTTGTGCAATCAAATTTTTGACGGGACCAATTCACTTTTTGTCACAGGTTATTCCATTATTTGTATATCACAATAAATAATTAATTAGTTGGATCTTCTCTGTACCAATTAGAACACACAAAAATAGTTGATCTATATGGGAAGCATGAACAAGGTGTAAAATGAAATTGCAAATGGAGAAATACCACTTTCATATTCTTTTATTAATTAACAAAAATTCAGAGGATCAGCTAGTTCAGTTGCATTCCAAATATTCAGTAAGATTAATCAGCTGATTACCATGCATGGTTTTTTTAACAATGTTTTAAATCTCTTCAGTAATGTCCGAAAAGTTTTTTTTTTTTCAATTAGCTATACGATGAACGGTTTATAACAACACTTGATTCGAATCTGCTACAGTTCAAATAGCTAATTAATTAATTGATTTCTTTTTTGTTGCAAGTGAAACTTTTAAAATTTAATACTTGTAATATAATAATAAAATAGGAATGTAAAAAATTAAATAATTAGATGGGAGTAGTTGGAGAATGAACATTGGCTATGTATTTATTGTTATAACTCATCCATCTGTCCTTTAAATAAACCATCCAATCAATCAATAATCATTGTATCAGTTAGTAATCAAATAACTTATTAAATATTTATTTGTTAGAATTTGTCTTGGCTGAGAGAATTACTAAATTTCTTCTTATCTATCAAACCAAAAATTTTCTTTAATTTGATACCTTATAATGAGTCAACAACATGCGTCCCATGTGGTCTAGTGGCTAGGATTCGTGGCTTTCACCCACGCGGCCCGGGTTCGATTCCCGGCATGGGAATCCCCTCAATTTTGCTGGGATTAATGAATATTATTGATGAATTTCATTAAATCACCAAATTCTTCACTAAACACTTTTTGTTTCTTTTTTGTTCAATAGTTAACACATATGCACGAGTGATAAATGCTCGATTGCATTGTTCTGAGACATCATCTCTGAGATGTTCATTCTATTTCACTCGGGAATTAATCGTATAGCTGATATTTTCTGAATTTCAAAGAAATTGAATCAAAAAAAAAAAGAATGACGATGAAGTTAATAGGATGATGTATTTTTGGCACAATATTAGTATCATGAAAAAGAAGAGCTCCATCTTATTTTAATATTTTACTTGCCTTTCCTACTGTATCTCTTCCATCTGCTTTACAGTAATACTCCAAGTAACGCTATGCAATAATAGATACAAATGGTCAAATATGCTTGATGAAAATAAATGGCTTTACGATAACATAAATTTTTTTGCATTTCATTACATTATTATTATTATTATTATTATTATTATTATTATTATTATTATTATTATTATTATTA